CAGAGACAAGCCCACATAAATACTGTTATCTCATACAAGACAAAGGCACAAAAAAAAAACATTCATTGAAAAAACGATAGCCTCTTCAACAAATGGTGTTGGGAAATCTGGAAATCCATATGTAACAAAATGAAATTAAACCCCTATCTTTCACCTACACAAGACTCAACTCAAAATGGATTAAAACTTACATACAGAACAAAGACCCTGTGTTTAATAGAAGAAAAAGTAGGCCCAAATCTTCACCATGTTGGCTTAGGAACTGACTTCCTTAACAAGATTACTAAAGTGCAAGAAGTAAATTCCAGAATTAATAAATGTGATGGCTTCAAAACTAAAAAACAACAACAACAACAAAACTTCTTTTCAGCAAAGGAAACAATCAACAATATGAAGAGAGATCTACAGAATGGGAGAAAATCTTTACCACACATACCTCAGATAGAGCATTAATCTCCAGGGTATATAAAGAATGCAAAAAAACTTAACAACAACAAAAACCCCCCCCAACTAACCCAATCAATAAATGGGCTAAGGAACTGAACAGATATTTTGTAGAAGAAATAAAATCCATCAACAAATATATAAAAAATATTCAACATCTCTAGCAATTAGAGAATCTCAAATCAAAATTACTCTTTCATCTCAGTCAGAAGGGCAATTATCAAGAATACAAGCCACAATAAATGTTGGAAAGGATGTGAAGAAAAAGGAACACTCATACATTGCTGGTGGACTGCAACCATTATGAAAAGCAGTATGGAGATTCCTCAGGAACTTGGAAATGAACCACCATTTGACCCAGCTATCCCACTCCTCGATTTATACTCAAAGGACTTAAAATCAGCAAACTACAGCGATACAGCCACATCAATGTTTGTAGCAGCTCAATTCACAATAGCTAAGCTGTGGAACCAACCAAGATAATAACATATGAATGGATAAAGAAAATATGATATATATATATATATATGAAATGGAATATTACTCAGCCTTAAAGAAGAATGAAATTATGGCATTTGTAGGTAAGTGGAGTTGGAAAATATCGTGCTAAGCAAAATAAGCCAACCCCACAAAACCAAAGGGTGAATATTTTCCCTGATATGTGGTTGTTAATTCATATTAGGTAGGGGGCTAGGGAAAAATAGAGATAGTTTGGATTAGGCAGAGGGGAATGAAGGGAAGGGAGCCATATGAAGTAAGAAGGATAGTAGAATGAATCAGACATTATTACCTTATGTGCATATATGATTATATGACAGGTATGATTCTAAACATGTACAATCAGAAGAATGAGAAATTATACTCCATTTATGTATGATATGTCAAAATGCATTCTACTGTCATATATAACAAATTAGAATAACCAAAAAATAGAAAAAAATAAAGGATTTTTATGAGTTATTTAAGATTTAAATAGAATAGACATGAGAGGGAAAGAGACACTTAAAATAATCTCAGGTTTTTTTGAATTCAGCAACCAAGTGAATGCTGGTACTAAAGATTATCAGATCAATTAAAAAAGATAAAGGGAACTCCTACAAAGAATTAATTAAATAATAGAAGAATAAAAAGAAGTCAAATAAAAAGCTGATTAAATTTATTTAAACTGTATAAGTAATCACATTAATTGTCAATCATATGGTCACCCAATTTAAAATGCAAATATTTCAGGATAAATAAAAAAGCTAAACTCAACTATGTGTATTCTAAACGAAGTGGGGCTTAGTCAAAACACAGAAATCATATGCTGTTCTCTATACCAGTAATGAGTAAGAAAACGAAAATTCAAAAGCATATTATTCATGATATTATTAAAAATAACAAGCTAGGAATAATTCTAATGAGGTTATACAAAAAATTGGGCATGGTGGTGCATGCCTGTAGTCCCAGTGACTTAGGAGGCTTTGGAAAGAGGACTGAAAGTTGAAGGCCAGACTCAGCAACATAGCAAGACTCTTAGCAATGTAGTAAACTCTGTCTTAAAAATGAGAGCTGGTGTTGTAGCTCAGTGGTAGAGTGCTTATCTAACATGTGTGAAGCACTAGGTTCAATCTTCTGTACCACACAAAGATAAATAAATAAATGAACAAATAAAAAATAAATAAAATATATTGTATCTATCTACAACCAAAAAAGAAATTTAAAAAATAAAAATGATTGGGGATGTAGCTTGGTGGTAAAGCAATCCTGGGTTTAATCCAGTCCCCGCCTCCCAAACAAAAGACAAGACAAACAAGTATGCAATACTTTATTATTTTTATTCAGAAAGCTACAAAAGATTATTGATAAAAGGATGATCTACATAAAGTATGATATGCAGTTTACATGGATTAAATGATACAATACCATAAAGATCTTAATTCTTGACTAACCTATAATTTAAATGGAATTTAAAATCAAAATCTCATAATGACATTTTGCAATTTAGTAATTTCAAAATGTATTTGGAAATACAGAAGACCAAAAAGAGTCAAGACATTCTGAAGGAAAGTATGATGTTCTGAAAGTCATGGTCTAGTAGAATAATCAAGAGGTAATGTATAAGTGCAATTAAAGAAAACAGATTCAGAAACAGACCCACAACTAATTTATGAAAAAGGCAGAGGTTATCTTTCCAACAAATGGCACTTGGAGATATATACATACATACATATATATATATATGTGTATATAAATATATATTTATATATTTATATATATATAAATGTAGGAAAAAGAACAAAAGATTACCCTTATACTTCACATCATCTACAAAAATTGATTCTAGGTAGACTGTAAATTTAAATATAAAAAACAAAACTACGGTTTCTGGAAGATAATTTAGGAGAACATTGTCATGACTTTGAGGTAGGAAAAGAGTTTAATCAGGACACAAAAATGCTACACAGTTAAGGAATTAAAACTAAAATTCTAGTCATCAAAACAAGGAAGAAAATAAACTATCAAGAGAATTATAAGACAAGCCATGGAGTGGGAATACATATTTACAATATAACCATAAATATGTGTGTGTATTTATTGGACAATATATAAAACCCCCCACAAATCAACATGTCAGATACCAAAATAAAAATGAGCAGAGTATTTGAATAGGCACTCACAAAAGAGGACATCAAATGCCCAACAAACATATGAAAAGATATTCAAACACATCTGGAGTCAGGGAAATGCAAATTAAATCGTAAGATAGTACTACAAGTCCATTACAAAAATTGAGAATACCACATGTTGGTAAGGACATAGGGCAATAGTACCAATTATATGCTCTGGTAGGAGTGTAAACTGATAAAAACTACCTTGGAAAGTTGTCTACCTATTTATGTTGGCTCCAAACTTGACACAACATAAATTCATTAACAGTGGATAAATAAATTAGCTATGGTATATTCATACAGTAGACCCATCAATGAAAATGCATAAACCTCTGCCATATGCAACAACATAGATGAATCTAACAAATAGTGAATAAAAGAACCTAGACACACAAAAATACATACTATTACATGATTCCACTTATAGTTTTGAAAAAGAATGTTTAGGGTACATACTTGCAAAATTTTCCTGATTTGCTTTAAGGAAATGAACGAATAGTGATTGAGAAGGGATACAAAGACCATGGAACATGATAATGTTATACATCTTGGTCTAGAGAAAAAAACACATGGGTGTTCTTTTAGAGATAAATCTAATCTTTGTTTTGTGTACTTGATTGAATTCTGTCAATATGAATAGGAGGGCCTTATCAACTAATGCACATATTATAGAAAACTGTTACATGGTGGAGCAGGCTGAGCTAGGCATGGTGGGGCACACCTGGAATCCCAGCAATTCAGAAGGCTGAGGAAGAAGGTCTCAAGTTCAAGGCTAGCCTTAGTTAGATCCAGTCTCAAAAAATACAAAGGACTGGGGATGCAGCTCAGTGGTAAGTACCTTTGGGTTCAATCCCCACAAATGGAAAAAAACAAAACAAAAGACCAGACTCAATGGACAATCAGGAACTGAAGTTCAATTGAAGCATGCCAAAACAAGAACAGAAAATAAGAAATGGAGACATGAATACTGACGACTGTTAGGAAAAATTTGGTTGCGAAGGAGAACAAAGATGTAGGGTGATAGATAGTTGGAAGGGAACGCAAGGTTATGAACAAGATAAACTGACATAATTATTCTTAAGAAACCACAGATTCCAGACTTGCCAGGTGAAGGCTAAAATGTCTTAAATACACTCAAAGACATAAGAGAAAAACTTGGACAGAGAACTAAAGGCAATCAGGAAAACAAATTATAATAAGGAATCACACAGAAATTCTTGAGCTGAAAAAGTATAAAAACTGACTTGAAAAATTCATTTGAGGGGTTCAAGAGCAGATGTGAGCAGGAAAAACAAAAAATTATTTAATTCAAAGATAGGACAATATCAAATTATCAAGTCTAAAATACAGAATTTTAAAAAAAGAATTATTCATATGATCCAACAAGTCCATTCTAGGTATATACTTAAAATAATTAAAAGTAGGGACTCAAAAAGATGTTTATACACCACTGTTTATAACAAAATTATTCACAATAGCCAAAAGGTGGAAGCAAAACAAAGTATGATACACCCATATAATGAAATAGGCAAACCTAAAAAGAAGTGAAATTGTGATACATGTTACAATATGAACAAACCTTGAAAAAATTATGCTAAATGAAATAAGCGAGACACAAAAAATAAATGTTGTTTGATTTCATAAATGTGAGATATATAGAATAGGCAAATTCATAAAGACAGAAAGTAGATTACAGGGAGGAAGTGAAAATGAGACTTTATGGGTATAGAGTTTTTGTTTAGGATAATGAAAAAGTTCTGGAAATGGATGGTATTGATGGTTGTACAATATTGTGAATGTATTAAATGACAAATGTTATATTATGTATATTATACTAGAATTTTCAAAAGTACAAAAGGGAAAAACAAAAGCAGATATGTAACAGAAAAGTACCCAAATACTCACTAGTTCTAGCTTCCATTTTTCAGCCTCTCCAATAGTTGTAGCTTTGCCAATATCTGCATCATCATGGAAAAATGGTTTTTTCTTGGCAGCTTCATTTACCCTGGAATCATCACCTGTTGTAACCCAAGAATTCTGCATGTTTCCCTGAAATAAAATGGGTCAATAATTGCAATTGGCATTCAATTTTAAATAAGCATGAATACTTTTTTTTTTAAATTATTTTTTAGTTCCTGGCAGACACAACATCTTTGTTTTTGTATGTGGTGCTGAGGATCGAACCCGGGCCGTACTCATGCCAGGCAAGTGCGCTACCGCTTGAGCCACATCTCCGGCCCCAGCATGAATACCTTATAAATGTTGATTCATATTCACAATGTAAGGAGGAAAAACATGTGCTTTTAAAGTCAAGAATTGCTTACCTTTTCAAGCTATTAGAGTCATATTCCACAAAAGGTGTTACAAAGATAAATCCTATAAGTATGGGCAATAATCCAAATATGAGCAAAGAGGCCTAAATGTCAGTATATTTAGCAAATGGAATTATCTCTCACTCATCTGAAGACATATATTCTTGAAACACATAAACCTACCTGGGTTTGTTAATTTTCCATATTTCACAGATGCATGGCTAATAACAGTAATCATTTCAAACATATGTGGTGTTAACTATGTGTCAGACACAATTTTATGGGTTTAATATGACTTGTGAATGATCACAGAGTTAGAAAACAGCGAATAAGTGGCAAAACCAGGATCTAAACCTTGGCAGTCTAGGTGCAGAGTCCTTGCCTGTGGCATAGTAAGAAATATATTATTTGGTTTCTGCCTTTGTTTCTTGACACAGAATTCTGAAAATTCTCATAATTTTCTGAGTGATAGAATGCCAGGAGCATCTTTTGATATAATATTTGGTTACAGGTTCTGGTTCCTGCCATAAGAACATGTAAGACCTTTAGTATCCACAGAATGATAAAATTATTTTTATGCTAATTAAATGATTGGTGGCGGGTCTCTAGATAGCTTTAAGATGGAGCTGATCTCCTGAAAGACCAAGGCAGGATTAGAGAACTGGAACTTTTAGCCCCACCCCAGATCTCTGAGGACAGAGAGGCTTGAGATTGATTTAATCAACAATGGCCAGTGATATCATCAATCATGCCTATGTACAGAAGCCTCCATAAAATCCTACATGATGGGGTTCAGAGAATTTCTAGGTTGATTAATATATACATGTGCCAAGGGGGTGGCACATCCAGCTCCATAGGGACAGACATTTCTGCACTTGGAGTCATTCTGGACCTTGCCTTGCATACCTCTTCATTTGGTTATTCATTTAAATCTTTTGTAATATCCTATATAATAAACTAGTAATAACAAATAAAGTGTTTCATTAAGATTTTTAAGCTGTTATAACAAATATCAAACATAAGGAAGAGATTGTGGGAACCCTCAGTTTGTAACGAAGTCAAAGAAAATTATGGATAATCTGGAGATCCACCACTTGTGATTGGGTCTGATACCAACTGTGGGTAGCTAGTGTCAGAATTTAATTGAGGCATTGGACACCCAGTTGGTAGCCACAGAGAAATGGAGAATGACCTGGTATAGAGGGAAAAAATCCCAAATATTTGGTGCCAGAAATGTTACAAGGAGAAAAACAGGAATAGTTTTTCATTTCATTTAGTATCCCAAGACATTATGTTCTTATCCATTTACAAAATAAATAAATAAATAAATAAAATCCTCAAAAGAAAAAGAATGCACATGTTGTTATAAACAGAAGTGATACGCAGCTTGCATGTTAGGGATTCAAAAAGGAGTGGTAGGGATGATGACAAATCATAGAAATGTGTCCTATGCAAAGGACACAACCACTCCTAAGTCCCAGTCAATCTTTGCCATATGGGAATAAAAATTCATATTACCAGAAAATCATCAGATTTTCTTTTAAAAGATTAGCCAGATTCTCGTTCTTCATTTGAAACATTGTTAAATATTAACTCAATGTTTACCAAACCAATGAAACATATTTGTGGGTTGTATTCAGCATACCATCATCAGTGTGTAACCTCTGCCCTAACATTTAATGAAATAAGCAACACAAAGATCTGAGAAATGTATGTGTGCAACAAGGACTAAAATACTTACGTTAGTTTAATTCAACAAATAATTATTGAATTCTTGCTAAGGGCTATTGTAATGCCATATCATGCTAGAATGTGGTAACCCGCATTCTTACAGAGTAGCATTCTAAGATTCTATTCCATATCCTCTGGAAGATCATTTTAGTGCAAACATTTGCATAGCACCTACTATATTCAGACACTGTACAAAGGGCTTGGAAGACAAAAATGAACACGATTAAATTTTAGCTCCAAGGAATTTATAGTCTAATGAGGGAGACAAACACCAGTCAGATAATTTCAATTTAATAAGGTGACTACTAAGCTAGAGGTGTGGCTGGGGGACTATGCCAGAACCGAGAAAGGATATTAAGGGACAACATTAATTTAAAGGTTTTGTGCCTGCAGAGGAGTTCATAGGAAATTCACAATTACTAATGGTAAAAATAAAAGGTGATGTGACAGAGGATGAAGCTAGAAAATCAAACGAGGGTCTTGTGCATAGTATAGCATGCTATGCTAATGAGCTTATACTCAATTCTGTAGGTAAGCTCAACTCTCTGAAGATTTGACTGCATTCAATGTTGGCTTTGAGATCAATGAAGGAAGGAAGGAAGGAAGGAAGGAGGGAGGTACTTATTTCCTACGGAGAAATCGGAGGAAGCATGTGGACCATAGATTGCTGGCTCATTGTATAAAATACCATCATTCTTTGGAAATAAGTGCTGGTCTAATGGACACTTTGTTCTTCCAGAGATAGCTTTTAAAAACTTGAATGGTATTTAATCAAGATTAAAAAACATCTCCATATATTAAATCCCTAAACATCATTAAAAACCCTTTATTTCTTAATAGAGGGGAGTGTTGGTATGGGAGGGGATGAGAAGAAACCTTGGAAGAAATGTCTCAGAAATTTTCCATTAAAAAAACTGCTAGATCTTTGAGTATACATGCCAAAATTTCTAATAAATAACATTTTAATATTATAATTTTTGAATTCTAGACAAAGCTTTCCAGGAAAAGAAATTTTATGAGAGTAAAAAATGATGGAAAATGAAAGTAGAAATAAAGTATACTTTAAATAGCTTAGTATTATTTTTAAAATAATCTGCTTGCTTCTTCAATATCTAGGTCATAAACTAGGCCAAAAGCTACAAGTCTTGTTGGCTGTCACTCAATTCTAGAGATAAAAAGTGAGAGACTCTGAAAAGGAGAAACTTTATTCTCTACAAACAAAAATGGTTTGGTTCAAAATTGACAAGCTCTTTCTAAATTATGCAGAAAAGCAGCATAATTTGGGATTAAGTAAATGAATTTTAGAAGTCAGAAAGCCATGGGTTTAAGTTCTTGCTTTGCTATTTCATAACTCTTTGTTATTAGACCAGTTCCTTAACCATTGCATACTTTAATCTTATGCTCTGAAAATGAAATAACACCTGCCTTGTGTGACTATTGTGAAACTAAAATCATATATATAGTGTTTGATACAATGCCTAGCACATTATAACAAGGTAGTGATCATTAGATGTTAGTTATTACTACGTAACTGTTTCAATTATTTTTCAAAAGAGGACATTATTAAACACTGAAAATCAATACTCAAATAAGCCAATTGTGTTGGCAAAACCTAGCATCAACATTTTAATTGACTCATTAATAAAGTTTCCCTACTGCCAAAGAAGATAATATTTCTTGATCTGTTTACATTTGAGCAATTCTAAAAAGTGTTATTCATATTAAAACTCCCAGGGCAATACCATGCATGCATTACTGAAATGCCTCAATTCATCCACACAAGTGAAAAGCAGAGCAACAATTTTATAACAATAAATAACACAGCTGGGCATGGTGGTACATGCCTGTAATCCTAGCAGCTTGGGAGGCTGAGGCAGAAGATCCAGAGTTCAAAGCCAGCCTCAGCAAAAACAAGGTGCTGAGCAACTCAGTGAGACCCTGTTTCTAAATAAAATACAAAATAGGTCTGGGGATGTGGCTCAGTGGTTGAATGCTCCTGAGTTCATCTCCAGCACTCAAAAAACAAAACAAAACAAGTATAGTATTAAAATAGATGTCAAAATCACTACATATATCTATAACAATCATTTCAATATTTGCATTACGTATTAGCTTGTGAGAATATTTAAAGAAGACAACAAAACCCCTCTATAACCTTGTCAGTTCTATGATTATGACTCCAGTTTTGCTTGCACTGCAAGGCATGTGTTCTTTCACAATCACTTCCTTCCCCTTTTGTATTACTCACTTCTCTTGCCTTCTGATTCACTGGTCTGCCTAGTTTCCTTTTTCAGTACACTTCCCTTTACTTGTCATTATAGAAATATTGAAGACTATGAATAATTGACTCCTTGCATGCAAAGTGACTATATATTTAGAAAGAAAGCAAAAGAATACATTCATTTTTTAGATGAGCGACTTCTAAGTTCTTTTTGTGTGGTGATAACTTCTTCAAATTGACATTAAAATATAAGATGGAGTTTTTGAACACTAATATTAGCAATTATGTAAATCTTCAGAAAAGTAGTGAGGGAAAAATAACTGATCACAAACTTAAATGTAATTGCACAAACTTACTAATACTAACTAACTGACTCTTTAGTATTAGTAATAATACTAAGTGAAATACTACTAAGCCTACTACACTTTTCAGAATTAATAATCAGATATATTGCCATAGCAAATTCTAACATATCTTTTAAAAGATTAGAAATGAAATACCAAAAAACAAAGTAAAATTTCAAAAACAAAAGAATATATAGGTAAAACATTAAGACTCTCATTTTTTTCTCTTAACAGAACTGATTTACAAATGATGACTAAGTTAAAACCATCAAAGCTGAAATAGGCAAGTATTAAAACTTCCCCATGGACAGTTGAAATTGCCTCAAAAAACAGAACAATCATTGACTATGTCCTAAAACAACAGTGAAAAACATTTTTAGTGCAACAGTACCTCCAAGTTATAAGAAGATATTAATTTTAAACACTATTTAAGTATCATCACAAGAGTTTTGTCACAGAACTATAAGAAATCATGTGATCTATTATTCTTTAAACTGTTGGCCACTGATATTAGAATCACTTAGGTCTTGATAAAAATTCATATTCCTAGAACCCAACAGGACCAACTATCAGAATCTCAGAGGATAGAGCCCAGGAATCTGCATTCTCAACTTGATAAAGGTGAATCTTCTCAAATTATCAATAAAGGAATTACACATGAAGTTAAGTCAGGCAAAGCCCTGTAAAATTACTTGCTAAATACATGGTTCCTAAGGGATGACTGAAAGACTAATTTTGATTCATGAGCCCTTAATTAATAATATCATATTGTTAATTAGACTTCTTAGATTTTAGAGCTCAAGAAAAATTCAGAGTAATCCATCAAAGATCTAAGGTTAGATTCTGAATAGTTTCCAGAATTACCAAAGTCTTCCTACATAACATACTTCCTACTTTCAGATCCAGTCTTTCCATATGGAAAAATAATAATTAGTATGCTCATAGAAGAACTGGAATAAATATTAGGCATTGCTACATTACTTCATTTGAGGTTACCTTTCATCTTAGTAAATTCTAATTTTTGAGACATCAAGCAAATACCAGTATAGTGTTTTGGCCAAACTTCAAGGAAAGATTCTAAGCAGTTCAGAAGGCTAAGGTAGAAGGTAGAAAGGAACATTCAAACTAAACTAGAATTTATGATTTTTAAAAAATTCTCACAGATGCATCCAGAAGTGTTTGTTCCCTCATTGTCTCCTCTTGTCTTTGAGATTTCAGCTGGAGTCTTTCTTGCTGGAGTCTTTCATTTTCAAGCTCAACTACTTGTACCTTATTTTTCATTCCAGAGAGTTCCTCCTATAAACAGAAACCAAAAAGAATGGGCTTTTTAAACAATGCTTTTATTTACTGATCACTAAAGGATCCAGAATGATATAAAATATAGAAATATTGAAGAAACACTACAATTATATTTAGACAATAAAGGTAACCCAAACATTAGCTAACAGAGAGAATATCAGGAATGTATAGTTGAAGGCATGTTGATGGCTATATCACAAACCTGTAGTTTCTGACATTTTTTTTTATCACTAGGATTCAAGGCTTACAGAAAGGCCTTAATTAAAATACTTATCAAAGAGTTTTTAAAGAATGACATACACTGCTGAAAATAAGGTATGATATTATTAATAACAAAATGTCAATAACTTGTGTGGACTAAAAAGGAGAAAACTTGGAGATAAAGGGATAGAAAGAGGCAATGATTATCTATGAACTGGTAGCCATATAGCAGTGAATTATGAGTAAAGCAGTATGGTGGGTTCCTCTGACCCTGCAGGGTGTAATATAAGGCATTATAAATAAATGACAATAGAATAGCTCTTGAGTGGTACCTGAAAAATATGCAAAATTATTAATATATCAATGAGGTAATACTTATCCTAATAATATTCATTACTAGTATAATAAAAAACTAGTATATAACATATGCAAATTCCTTCCAATTATTTTATTTAGAAAAAGCAAAGCTGTAATTAAAAAACATCTTTAGAGTTCTAATTTTCATTCTTACATGCAATGAATTTACAAGACATCAATCCCATCTTTAAACATCCTAATCTTATAAGACTATAGCAGAGGGGTTCAGCTGAAAGAACTGTATTTAAGAGGAATTTTCTAAGGAAACCCAAAGACCACAAAGGAGACAAAAACCAGGATACTGGAAGAAATCTTAACCTCTGAAATGTATGGCAAAAGCAAACAGTCAAAACAGCCTAACTTCTGGACATATAAATATGAAAATTCACATTAAAGTTCTAGTTAATACAGTTCCAATTACCTAGTACATCATGTCCGACATTCAATTAAAAATTTCAAGGCGTACTAAGGGACTTAAAACACAATTTGAAGAGAATGAATAAGCATCCAATCTCAGACATGGCAGAGATGCTGAAATTATCAGGACAGACTTTTATTTTATTTTATTTTTTTTAAATTTTTTATTGTTGGTTGTTCAAAACATTACATATTTCTTGATATATCATATTTCAAACTTTGATTCAAGTGGGTTATGAACTCCCATTTTTACCCCATATACAGATTGCAGAATCACATCAGTTACACATCCATTGATTTACATATTGCCATACTAGTGTCTGTTGTGTTCTGCTGCCTTTCCTATCCTCTACTATCCCCCCTCCCCTCCCCTCCCCTCTTCTCTCTCTACCCCCTCTACTGTCATTCATTTCTCCCCCTTGTATTATTTTTCCCTTTCCCCTCACTTCCTCTTGTATGTACTTTTGTATAACCCTGAGGGTCTCCTTCCATTTTCATGCAATTTCCCTTCTCTCTCCCTTTCCCTCCCACCTCTCATCCCTGTTGGGACAGACTTTTAAAACAAGTAAGATTACTGTGCTAAGATTCCCCTCCCTCTCTTCCTCCCTTCCTCCCTTCCTTCCTTTCTGGTACTGGATTTAAACCCTGGGGCACTGAGATACATCCCCAATACTTTTTCTTTTTATTTTGAGATGGGGTCTCCTTAAGTTGCTGATTGTCTTGCTAAGTTACTGAGGCTGGCCTCAAACATGTGATCCTCCTGCCTCAGCCTCCCAAGTCACTGGGATTACAGGCATGTGCCACTACACCTGGCTGCTAAAATCTTTAATGAGAAAAGTTGACTACATGTAAGAATAGGTGGGTGATGTCAGTGTGGAGATGGAAACTTTAAGAAAGAATTATAAGTAAATATTAGAAATAAAAAACAATAACATACATGAAGAATGTCTTTAATTGCCAATCAATAGAATGAACAAGGCCAAGGAAGACAATTACTAACTGGGAAGAGCTGGCAATAGAAAATTCCAAAACAAAATTGAAGAGAGAAAGAGAAAAATTAAAAACAAAAAACCCACCAAAGACAGAAAAGAATATCCAAAAACTGCAGTACAATTATAAAAAATGTAATATATGTGTAATGGGAATATAAAAAAGAAGAAAGAGAAAATGAATGGAAGAAATATTCATATCAACAGTGACTGAAATTTTTCCTAAATAATTAATAGGCACTAAATAATAGATCCAGGAAGCTCAGAGAACATCAAGTAGGATAAACACCAAAAATATCTAAACCTAGGAATATTATATTCAAACTGTAGAAAATCAAAGCAAAGAGAGACCTTAAAAGAAACTAAAGTAAAAATGTAAAACAAATACAACTACCACCACTAATAATAACAATAAGTCTTTACCTATAGAGAAGCAAGAATAAGAATTATATAAGACTTCTTATTTCTTTTCCAAAACTATGTAAACACAAAAAGAGTGCAGAATTAAATTTTTAAAGTGTTTAAAGGAAAAAAATAAAAACCTAGATAACTTAGAATTTTGTATTGAACAAAATTAACCTTTGAAAGGGAAGGAAAAAATAAAGACTTTTATAGACAACAATTGTGAGGGAGTTTGTTAATAATACACCTGCCTTGCAAGAAATGTTAAAAGACATTCTTCACAAAGAAGAAAAATGATTTAGGTCAGAAACCTATCATCTATATACTGTAAGAAAGAGTATTAGAGAAGTAATAAATGGAGATGACATAAATATTTTAGTTTTCTCATTAATTTTTCAGATAATAGTTGTTCAACATCAGGATAGCAACAGTGAAAGTGGTAATTATAGTTTATATATAAATGAAATGAATGATAGCAATGTTTTTAAAGGACAGGAGAGACAAATAGCAGCTATTTAATGACTTACATTTCCTATGAGGTAGACACGGATTATTTGCAAGTGCATATTGCAAACACTAAAAAAAATAAAAAGGAAAAAATGTATAATTGATAGATTTGCAAAGACAGAATTTAAAAAGGCAATCATATTAAATAAGCAATTACAACCAATGAAGACATGAAGAGAGTTGAAAAAAAGAAACAAAGGAGGGCAATTAAGAGAGCAATTGATTGGGTTATTTATTTTTTTGGTGCTTAGCTTTTTGAGTCCCTTATATACCCTAGAGATTAGTGCTCTTTCTGATGTGTGAGGGGTAAAAATTTGCTCCAAGGGTGTAGGCTCTCTATTCACCTCACATATTGTTTCTTTTGCTGAGAAGAAATTTTTTAGTTTGATTCCATCCCATTTATTGATTCTTGGTTTTAATTCTTGGGCTATAGGAGTCTTATTAAGGAAGTTGGGGCCAAATCCCACATGATGCAGATTAGGGCCTACTTTTTCTTCTGTTAGATACAGAGTCTCTTCTGGTTTAATTCCTAGGTCCTTGATCAACTTTGAGTTGAGTTTTGTGCATAGTGAGAGATAGGGGTTTAATTTCATTTTGTTGCATATGGATTTCCAGTTTTCCCAGGACCTGAACAGACACTTCTCAGAAGAGGATATACAATCAATCAACAAATATATGAAAAAATGTTCATCATCTCTAGCAATTAGAGAAATGCAATTCAAAACTACTCTAAGATATCATCTCACTCCAGTCAGAATGACAGCTATTATGAAGACAAACAACAATAAGTGTTGGCGAGGATGTGGGGGAAAAGGTACACTCATACATTGCTGGTGAGACTGCAAATTGGTGCAGCCAATATGGAAAGCAGTATGGAGATTCCTTGGAAAACTAGGAATGGAACCACCATTTGACCTAGCTATACCTCTCCTCAGTCTATACCTAAAAGACTTAAAAACAGCATATTACAGGGACATAGCCACATCAATGTATATAGCAGCACAATTCATAATAGCTAAACTGTGGAGCTGACCTAGATGCCCTTCAGTAGATGAATGGGTAAAAATATGTGGCATATATACACAATGGAATATTATGCAACAATAAAAGAGAGTAAAATCATGGCATTTGCAGGTAAATGGATGGCATTGGAGAAGAAAATGCTAAGTGAAGTTAACCAATCCCCAAAAAGAAATGCTGAATGTTTTCTCTGATATAAGGAGGCTGGCTCATAGTGGGGTAGGGATGGGGAACATGGGAGGAATAGATGAATTCTAGATAGGACAAGGGGGAGGGAGGGAAAGGGAGGGGGCAAAGGGTTAGCAAGGATGGTGGAATGTGATAGACATCATTATGAAGACAGGAATTGGTGTGAACATACTTTATATACAACCAAAAATATGAAAAATTGTGCTGTATATGTGTAATAAGATTTTTAATTCATTCCACTGTCATTTATTTTTTTTTTAAATTCAGCTAAAAAAGGGAGCAGTAACAAGTGTTGGATATTAACCTTACTATATCAATAATTATTTTAAATCTCTAAATATAACAATTTAAAGACAGACACATCATAAGAGGTTTTTTAAAAGTCCTCAAGTATACAATACCTTCAAGAAGCCCAATGTAAATATAAAGAAATGGATTGGTAGAGGGCTGAATATAAATACCCAGCAGAGGTACCTCTGCTGTACCATAGGAAAGAACCATAGCAACAGGTTTGTAACTGCCTGTGGAGGTGGGTGTTCATGGGTAAGCATTTGAAATTGACAGCAGAAAAAATGAAACCTGCTGAAATCCAGAGACTGAGGAAAACAACAAAACAAGTAGAATATCCAGGACTTGGTGTCTAGTACCTCAGTCAAGGTCAGGGAACTCTTCAAGGGGTTCAGGTGAAAGAGAAAGAGTCATAATCACAGGGTGGTGCAGAAGGCTGCACTCTGCAGACAGATTAAATATACACATGACCTACAGTCTGCACAGCAAGGTAGCTTTAGAGAAGAAATGTACTATATCTTGCAGCAAACTATCAGAATGCTATAGCTAGGAGCCAGAGGGCATAATCACATCTCAGGTCCTTGTGGACAGTTGGCCCCATTGATTGGACAGGCAACAGGCACCTGAGATAATCTTGGCTTGGGGGAGCATCTCCTGACACAAACCCCATGATAAAAGTTTTATGCTGCAGGGAGCATGGGATGTAAAGAGGAGAGGAGTAGAGAGCACTGCCCTCAGGAATCAATGGTTCAGGGAGCCCACTCTCTTGTGACCTAGAGTGACACCAATGGCATGTAGTCATGTAGGGACCAGGTTTGAAAGTGTCATGATTCAGAGTAGTAGACCACTGGGTTCCTGCAAAACCTCCTTCAGCAAAAAACTCAGTGGTCCAATTTCCCCCTCCTTCCCCCAGGAGGCATTAGGGGATACCTCTGGCTTAGGCATTTGTGTCCCTCACACTCCTCACCCCAGGATGTGTAGACTTTAAGAGAGGGAGGGAAGGAGGAATGAATAGGTGAAGCACAAGAAATGTTAAACTACTATGTATGGAACTGTAATGATGGATCTGTGTCATTATACATTTCTTAAAACTCATAGAAAATATAATGCTTGAATTTTACTGAAAACTGGAAAATTTAATGTAAACTAGAAAAGTTTGGTTCATCAGTTGTAACAAATGTACCACACTGAGACAAGATGTTAATAACCAGGAAAACTGTGGGGCAGAGTTTTGATTGAGAGAAGTATATGGAAACTCTATGTATTTTTTTCAATTTTTCTATAAACATAAACTGATCTAAAAAAAAAAGACCCAGAGGTGAATTAAACAACTTCTTTAATTAATTAAACAACTTGTTTCTAAATCTTTAAATGTTATTTTCTTTCTATTCCTTCTTTGTTAAAATGTCTAATGCTTTATCTGACTTTCAAGTCTTCTATAATCTTCCATTTTTCCAGTTCAGCATTATTTTCATTATTTCTATGAGACATACTCCATGGTAGGAAGACAGAAAAGATGTCGCATGGGACCTACAAACAAACTATACTAATCCTAAATATATAATTGTTACTGTTCTTTACAAAACTTTTTCTCTTCCCTTCTGCTGAGCTAGATGGTTTCCTTTAATGAATGATTCAAGATCCATGTCTCCCATAAAAAATATTCCCAAAAACATGAGCTTTTTGCATCCTTCTTCTCATATTATAGCTAAAGTTTATGCCATGAAGTAAAGGAAAACATATATTCTCTATTATGTTGCTATGGTGCTCATAGGTAATAGTTTTTTGTCTTTTCAACTAGATGGTAAATTTATTATTCTTTATATATTTTAAATTTTATCCATAGTATCTTTAGTGATCAAGAGATTCTTGCTAATGGAATAATTATTATGATATTATTTTGGTTTTACTGATAATCCAAGAGTACCTAAATATTAATGATCATGTACTTCAAAAACAAAGAGAAAACTAAATGTTGAGATCAGGGACTCCTTTGTAAGATCAAGATCATGAAACATATAAAGCCTCCTTAAGTTACATACTGGTCTTACTGGGTATGACAGTACACACCTGTAATCCCAGCCATTGGAAGGCTGAGGCAGGAGTACTGCCAAATTCAAGGCCAACCTCAGCAACTTAGTAAGACCTGTCTCAAAACAAAAAATAAAAGGTCTTGGGATGTAGCTCAGTGGTAAAGCGCCCCTGGGTTTACTCTCTAGTATCAAAAAATAAGTAAAATAAATAATAAAAAAGTTACAAACTGGTCTTGCATCAAAATGTTAAAAATATAATACATGATACAAAAAATATCAGCAATTCCCATAAAATATCACATAATTCAATCCTTAGCACCAAAATGACAATATCCAAAAAATTATTTTATATATGTAACAGATATTTTACATATAAAAATCATCATCTGATTCACAAATAATACAAAAATCGAAAAGGAAAAAATAATGAGAACAAAAAACTAAAACAAAACAAAAACTAAAACGCTAACATTATCTTGAAAAAGTAGAAAGGTTCTAATGGAATTAATGACATCACCAAATTGCAAATAGTCAAACAATATAACTCTTCAGAATCACAAATATGGGGTAATATTCAATTTCTTAATCATTACTCAGTATGAATCACTCTTAATCAAGTTCAAGGTAAGAGCCTTAAGAGTGACAATGGAACAGATTTGGTCTACCAGCTTAGAATCCTCAATTATTGTACCACAGCTTCAATAAGTTGACAATTGTGGGAGAATGATTGGTCTTAGTATTCCAAAGTATTTGCCATCTGGTAGGCTAAAGTAAATGGAGTGGAAAGGAGGAATTCTGAAACATGAGAGCATATTGTGAAATCATTAGACATAGTACTGGGAAATTAAGCAATCAGAAATGGCACATTCAAGAATATCATCCCGAAGACAAGTTCCTGTACTACATTAGTCTTTCAATAATATAAGAATAGCGATTGGCTATGGACTGCTACAAACATGAAAACTAATGATAGCAAATTCTTATTTAAGGCATAATTGACATAAACTTTAATTATGTAAGATTAAATTTCTAAAGGGAACTTACCTTGCAGAACTTGACTTCAGCCTCTAAATGATGAATGTATTGAGATTGGTCATTAATGATAGGAACAAGGTTGTGTACAGTAGGCATATTAGTTTCCTCATATTCTGATGATCTCTAAAACAAAAAAAGGTAAATTATGCATGTTTGGATTTTGCAAAAAATCAGCTGATACCTTCTCCAGATTTAATTCAGCACATATTTGATGTAAACAGAGATCAAAGTGTAACTAATAGTATTTATTTCTCTATTCTATAAATTAAATATACAAGACAAGGGGATATGAATATCATTTTTTACAGACAGAAAGTAAAGATTGTTATTAAAAGCAATGGAAAGTGTAAAGATGCTGGGGTAGGATAATTGTCTTAGAATGACTTGCCTATTGGAACTGAATACAAAATCCTATTCAATAATGCTGTGATATGAGGGACAGCTCTCTCTAAGAAACTGCCATGGAAGAGAACTGCTAGCTGAAACTGTAGATTAGCTCACTGAAGAAAGAGATTCTTTAGATAAATGTTTGAGGTCAAATGTATGTCAATAATGTAAAATTCCATTTCAAAAAAGATACTTCAGCAAAACATTTTTTTTTGTTTTAAATTTTTGATTCTAGTACTTAGGCAATTCTAAACTGTGCTTTTTTTTGGGGGGGGGGGAGTATAGAACCTCCAAGACTAGAGCCCTAAAGCAGAGATAAACTGCATTGAGGAGCCCAATGAAAAGATTCCCCCAAAAGTTCTAATACCATTTAGCTCTGTAGCTAAAGTATTTGACTTTTTTTTTTAAAGAGAGAGAGAGAGGGAGAGAGAGAGAGAGAGAATTTTTTTAATATTTATTTTTTAGTTTTCGACGGATACAACATCTTTGTTTGTATGTGGTACTGAGGATCAAACCCAGGCCGCACGCATGCCAGACGAGTGCGCTACCACTTGAGCCACATCCCCAGCCCTAAAGTATTTGACTTTTAATGTATATCTTAGCTTATTTTAAATGAATATTATAAAATAAGTTTTTTAAAGGAAGAAATATGGGAAAGGAAAAATGAAGTTCAACCAGTTAAACAAGAGGAAAGTTTGAAATGGACAATCTTTCTTTCTCAATCATTCTGGTTTTCAGTTCAACAAAAATTATGAACAATCAAATATCAATTAGAAATAGCTTTATGTTTGGGTATATTAAATTTAAAAAACAAAGAAACTTTATGTATGTATGCATGTACATATATATGTATTGTGATTCTAGGAATTGAACACTGGGCCTCATGAATGCTAAGTCAGAGCTCTGCCATTAAGCTGCATCTCCTGCCTCAAAAGTAGCTTTATTTATTTACTTACTTATTTACTTATTGGAAGTATTGGGAATTGAACCTAGGGATGTTCTACCACTGAGCTACATCCCCAGTCCTCTTTACTATGAGACAGGATCTCACTAAGTAGCTCAGATTGCCGTTGAACTTGAGATCCTCCTGTCTCAGTCTCCTGAGTCACTGGAATTGGTGTGTGCCTTCATGCCCAGCTAAAATAACATTAATTAAACAAACTACCTGTGGTGAGTAGAAAGCTAAATAACTAAGACATTACACTTTTACATTTGTCACATATATATGTTCATACAATAATCTCTATTTGTTTGTTTGTTTGTTTATTTATTTATTTTTATGTGGTACTGAGGATTGAACCCAGGGCTTCGCCCGTACTAGGCGAGTGCTCTACCACTAAGCCACAACCCCAGACCTATAATCATTTTATATTAATAGAAACAGGTTCAGAATGTAGGCAAATATGAACTAAGTACAGTTAGTCCTCCATGTCTGTAAGTTCCACATCCATGGAGGATTCAAACAATTGCATATCAAAAATATTTGAAAAACATACTTAATCTGTACTAATGATGTGCAGAGCTTTTTTCTGGTCATTTTTTCCTAATAGTATAGCATAAAAACTATTTACATAGCATCACATTGTTTTAGGTATTTACATAGCATCACATTGTTTTAGGTAATCCATTGGTGATTTAAAGTATATGGGCAAATGTAATATGTTATATGAAAATACTATGCTATTTTATGTAAGGATTGGAATATTCATGGATTTTGATATCGAAAGAGGGGTCCTGGATCTAATCCCCAAGGATATGGAGAGACATCTGTGTTCGTTCCTATGCATACATAGGAAAAAGTCAATGTGAAGAATCATAAATTCAAGTTAATACTATGTGGAAAATGTTCACAAACAATCTGTACATCCTTTGACAGGCTTATTGTAGTTTGGATATCCACATATTACAATAAAATGTAATAATATCTAGATATACTTTCCATCTCAACAATACCTCAGTTTTACTCTCAATACACCCATATATTTCTGATATATTATACTGGCTATGAAATTGCATTCTAAAGCTACAATATTAAAAAGTATATTATTATTATTATTATTATTATTATTATGGCTTATAATCATTACGTGTAGACTGAATACAGTTAGAGTCTAAGTACCAATCTTTTATATATCTTCATATATATAGACCAGTGTATTTGTAAACAATTTGTATACTAAGCAAATTCTCTTGATTAAAGTTTTTTGCCTATCCTGATTCAATAAACTCCATAATATCACTGCTCAATTTTATCTTTAAAAACTGAATAAGCATGTATGAACATTAAACAGATACAGCAAATTCATCTAATAAATTTAAAAACATCCCACCCACTATTGCTTAAGAGCATTCTCGAAACCATATGTCAACAGTAATAAATTCAATGAATAATAAAATGTTTTATTAAAATTATAACCTCTATCTATAAATATTAACAATGTATATACAATACATTTCTCTAAAGTAAGAATTAAGCACATAAGTATGTATCAGATGGAATGAAGTACTAATATGGGGGTACTATTATAACATTTTCAGCAGTGAGTAAAGGAAAGTGACACATCTGTACAGTTTACAGCATGTAGGCTTTTTATTCAACTATTACACAATTTGAAAATTCAAGTTGAGCCAAGAGTGGTGGTGCACATCTATAACTCTAGCCACTTGGGAGGATGAGGCAGAAGCATTGCAAATTTAAGGCCAGCCGTGGCAACTTACTGAGCTAGTATTGTTGCTCAGTGGTGGAATGTCCCAGTACCATTGGGAGGAAAATAAGAAAGGTGGTTATTACTGCATTTATGTCATACTTCATAATTCAATATTTTTAAAGAATTCTAACTATATAATCTTATTTTATTATTTCAAAAAGTCTGTGAAATAGGCACAATATCCTTAGAGAGAGAATGTGATAGGCCCTATTTAGATCTAAGGCCTAGATATTATTTTGACCTGGTCTTCATCCTTCCCTCACACCTATCTCAGCCTTTACCATATAAAATATTTCAATAAGGAATAATACACTGTATTCAAAAATAAAAATCAATCTCAGAATAGAGCATGACTTCTCATATCACACTCTTTTTTAAAAAATATTTTTTTAGTTGTAGATGGACACAATATTTTTATTTATTTTTGTGTGGTGCTGAGGATTGAACTAAGTGCCTCACAAATGCAAGATAAGCACTTTGCCACTGAAGTACAGCCGCATCCCCCATATCACACTCTTTTATAACTATATATTTTAACATGTAGGATAATGTAACACACTTTACTTTTGACATTCAAATTGAAAGTATCATAAAAGAGTGTTAAGATCATAATTAAGTAACATCTTAAATGATCAAATACAGACATGATTCTCTAAAGAAGAAATAACTCAAATATTTTACTTTTACATTTGTCATATATACATTCACATATTCATACACATAAACACACACACACACACATGAGTGCGCACTAACAGTTCCAAAATACATTTTCCAAATTGTTTCTTTCTCACATCTCCTTCCTTCCTTCCTTCCTTCTTTCCTTCCTTCCTTCCTTCCTTCTATCCTTCCTCCTTCCTTTCTTTTATTTTTATTCTTATTACTATTGTTATTAATTTTTCAGTACTGGGGATTGAACCCAGATGCACTTTCACTGATCTATATCCTCAGTGCTTTTAAATTTTGAGACTGGGTCTTGCTAAGTTGCCCAGGATAGCCTTAAACTTGAGATCCTCCTGCCTCAGCCTAAATTGCTGGGATTACAGGGGTGCACCAGTGCACCTTGGTTTTTCACATTTTTTAAGAAAATAATAAATTAAGAAAATTAGGTTTACCTCTGATATGTAAGTCTCTTTTCTTTAGTCAAAATAGTCAGATGGGAAATAATTTATTCAAATGCTTTATACTATACGCATGATCAGAATTGCTTATAGCATATGCTACTAAAATGACATAAAAACAAAACAGAGTTAGAAAACTTTTGTCAGGTTACAAAAGGTGATACTCACCAAAGGGGGCATTTTTTGTTTTCTTGATGGAGATATCTCATTTTCCTTACTTGCTTGCTGATGCAACATAGCTTTGAGCTGTTTAACTACAGAGCAAAAGCAAATGAATTCATTGACTTTGAGACCATGGTTTATGCTATAGTTTTGATTTTATATGTCCCCCAAAGTGCCATGTGTTTAAAGCATAGTCTTGAGCTCAGTGCTACTGGGAGGTAGTGGAACCTTTATGAGGTGGGGTTTACTAGTAAGTCTTTCTGTCATTGGAGGGTTACCCTTGAAGAGGATAGTGGGACTCAAACTCCTTTCTCTCTCTTTTTTACTTCCCTGCCATGAGGCAAGCAGGTTTTGCTCCTCCAGGTACTTCCACCTTGATGTATTGCCTCAACACAGGAACAAAACTATGGGGCCAATTAGTCATGGACTGAAACTTCCAAACCTGTGAGTCACAATAAATCTTTTTACTTTATAAGTTTATTTAGCTTAGACATTTGTTATAGTAATAGAAAGTTGACTAACAACTTATCATCATCCACCCATTCTTTGATTCATCCAACAACCATTGCTTAAATTTCTATTATGCATCAAAAATTATGCTGTTGACTTGGGATACAAAGACAAAGATACCCCTTAAGAGCTAAAATTCAGTGAGCAAAAAATATAGACTAATAGATGTAGAACAATAAAACAAGTTTGGATATAGACTTTGAACTATGCATAGTGTTACAAGAGGACACACATAATTGTGCCTGTTTTCACAGAGAAGCTAACGCTGTCCAGGTGAACAGGAGTTCACCACGCAAGAAAGGGGGAGAAAAATTCTAGTTAGGATGCATTACATGTGTAAAAGTACAGAGGCATACTTAGGAGGTTTGTATGCCTAAATTATGGTTTATGAGAGGGATGGGTAGGATGAGAGTATAAAAAAATAAGACTAGAAATGTAGGTTGCAGCTCTCTAAGCAAAATATTGTTATCTCATCTTAAGGTATTTGGACTTTAGCCTATAGGCATTAGGAAGTCAAAAAGAAAAAAAAAATTAGTGAAGAAACTGTATTACCTGATTTGTGTTTCAGGAATAACATCCTAGCAGCGGAGTGGAGGATGGGATGGAGTCAGTATTCTGTAGAGTTTAAAGTACTTACTATGTGTCATTTAGGCTAGGACTGACATTATTACTTACCGGCATGGCTATGTTGCAGTTCATGCCAGGCTATCTCAGGGTCCTCAATTCCTACATTGGTGCTAAAGGAAGGATCCAGTGCTTCTTCTTCAATGGTGACATCACCTTCTCTCAGGGCACATTTCAGTTGGTGAATGCTTCTGCTGGCCCGTTCTGCAAACAGACATCTGATGAAAATCAAGGCCGGTAAAATGTGAGCAGTCACATGGACACTTGTTCAAGATAGCAGTCTTGAAAGAAGTATCAACTATTTCTGGTACAGAATGGAAAGAGGAGAGTTTTGTTTCTAGTCTGCTGAAGATTGTGCCAAAGAAAGTGAGAGAAGATTAAGTTCATGGATTAGAGGTTAGTCTTAATGGTCGCTATAACTGCAATTGTTGATTTCTTTTTTATTTTTTGTTTAATATTTTTAGTTCTGGGGATTGAACCCAAGGTCTCAAGCATGTTCACCAAGTCCTCTATGAGTGAGCTTCATTCCCAGCCCCCTCTGATATTCACTATATATAGCACCTCCAGCATAGTTTTGGAGGGTCAAATGGCAGTTTCCCCACTCTCAAGCAATAACCAACCTGGGGATCTGGAGATGTGTTCTCCTTCCTCTCAGTGCTTAATACTGTCCTACCCTACCTGGAAATAGAAGGGTGAGTTGGGCAGAACCAGTCAGCGGAACTCAGTAACACTAAGTTCTGACCTAGGGAAGCCCCATTATCCCTGAGGACCTGATGCCCTTGCTTCACCAAGAGACATAAACTAGCTGGGCATGGTGGCACACAGATATATTCCAAGCTATTTGGGAGGTCAAGGAAGAAAGATCAAAAGTTTCAAGGCCAACCTGGGCAACTTAGTGAGATCCTGTCTCAGAATAAAATTTTAAAAGGACTGGGGATGTAGCTCGGTGATAGAGTGCCCCTGGGTTTAATCCCTAGTACCACCATCGGGGGGAGTGGGGTGGGGGGAAGAAAAAGAATGAACTACTTATTCTAGTTTCTCAGTTTAAATCAAGATTTGTACAGTTGAAGTGATTATGGTGGCAATTCACACTATAGTGTTTCTTATGTATTGTACTCACATTCTTGGTTAGTATAACCCCTCGAAATGAAGCTTAAACATGGTAGCACATAACACTTGTTTCTTTGATAATTCATCTCCCTCAAGAACCCAGGCTTACTTCCTTGTGCCCTTATATTTTGAAAATGAGTAGGCCTTTAACTTGTATTAACCAGCACAAGTTACACCATGAAAGTCCCAGGCCCCATCTTTTTTTACAAAGGATTAGCAGCTGCTGTTTCCTTGATCTTGGAATGTTTGATTTTAGGAGCTGTTCATCTTGTTGAAGAGACCTGAGAAGAGGCCACACGGAGAGGAAAGGCTCTGAGACTACATGGAGAAGGAGAGATGCCCTTCACCACCATCACTCTACACCCCAACAGTCCAGTGTAACTGCTAGAGGACTCCAGTGTCAGCAACCATTTAAGTACAATGGCAGGAAAAAAGATCTGATTCATGTATGAAAGCACATTTATTAACATATATTTTACAGAACCTTGAAAAACAAATTTCTTTTTCTCCAAGTTCATTCATTTTCAGGTTTAAAATAGAAAAACATAATGATATTAATTAATAGAGAAGTAGTAGAGTTTCTTGACTTACAGCAAGTAATTTTCTACCTTGATTAATCTAAAGAAAACAGGTCTTTCAGTCTAGGTTAAACAATGAAATTCTCTTTATTAATTACACAAGAGACTCTGTGAATTTATCATTACATTTTCTCTACATTTCTCTATTTATATATAGATCTTTTTCTAACACAAACTTGGTGCTGATTACTAACCAAGTATGGTCTCTTCTTACTTATCCTGAATTTAAAGAAGCACAGATAAGAAGTATTCCTAGTTTTCTCAATATAAGGAACAGCAACAGGTTCCAGCAGCTCAGAATTTTCTAAAGAGACTTAAATCTATGAATAAAGCACTGTTGTTATTGCATCCATTAGAAAGGAAACAGAGGATTTGACTAACATTAAAAGTATGCTCCATGGAGCCATCAAAATGACTTCACTTCTAAAACAAAGGATAATTGTTTATTTATATTTGGTCTAAATAAAAGCTAATAAACTATATTAGGAAAAAGAAAGAAAATCTGAAATAAAAATCACAAAATTGAAAATCCCTACAGGTAGAGCTCTTTCAGATTACAATGATGGCAGTGTTTTAAGGGCCCTTTAAATCTTTTTTTCTAATATTCTTGTTTGGTATTTTGAAATTCATAATATTAAAAGATGACATCCTAGACTGTACAGTGAAAATAATGAGATATAGAATTCAACAACTATCCCAAAGGAAAGTGATACACATAGCTTTGGTTTTTTTTTTTTTTTTGCAACTATTGACTCAGTTGTGAGGGTCAGAGAAGAAGAGGAATTTGCAAAGGACCCTGTCCCAAAACTAAGATGTAAATGATAACTTTTAAATTATTTAAATACAACATTTTAAAATATATATATACATATATATGTATATATATATACATATATATGTATATATATGTATATATATATACATTTTTCAAACCTATACACAGCAACATCTACATAATTATAAAGTATGAATAATAGTTAATCCTGAAGAATTGTAACTCTAAGATGATTCAAGATGGATGAAATTCCATTGCTTGTCTACTGGAGCCATTTAATCTGAAGCTTCCATAAGCCTTATTATGAACACTATTCCATAAATGCAGTTATTTTCTGTTTAGACTTAAGGAAACCAGATTAACAGGAGGTTCCAGTTATCATTTCCTATCCCACTGCTAATGGGGCACAGCTTTATCTAACCGAGATAGAAAGGACATTGACTTCCTCTTCTCTCCTGAGAGGACAGTAGGGTATTTCCAAATGATCTGATTTCTTCTCCCCAGCACCAATAGGCTAAATATAAACTTAATTATAAACAGAAATACAAACAAACCCTCTGAGTCTTACAGATCACATGAACATAAGTGCAAGTAAATAATATTTCTATTACTCCATTATCCAAACATCAATCAGAACAATGAACACTTAAAAAGGTTCTTGAGCTAATGACTGTAAATTTAATCTCTTAGTTACTTTCTTAGTCCAAGTTCCCTATTCCTATGTTCTAATTCCCAGCTCACCATTGAGCTTTTCTTCATCAAGATGTTTTTGAACAAAATGTAAAAATTTCTCAGTCTGAGAAGGATCACCAACTATATTCATATAGTGAATTATTAATTTCTACATTCTCCATCTGTCTTGGGAGATGTGTAAGAGAATTACCCTAGTGACAGGGAGAGGGAACCAACCCTATGAAGTACCCAGCTGTCTCTGAGAAAACAGTCAATGAACCATTCCCTAGGCTGACATATAAGATACACAGCAGTTCCTGGCACAAGCTTAGACAAGGGCAGATGGCAGAAAAATGAAACCATAGCTAGATAAGAGAAACATGTGTCGGTCTACACATAATGGGGCCACATCCTAGTTTGGAAGATTGCCGTAACGGTTTTCTAAGAGACTGACAGATAGCAAAACCAAGGTAAAAACAGCATAATCAAAAGTCAGACAAAGTCAGCTCTGTAAACAGCAATAGTGAAAGATAATAATTAAGTACTACAGATAAATGAAAAAAAATCTCAAAGAAAATACTATCATAATACTGTAATAGTTGAAAACGTGCTTAAAGTGGTTGGCACCAGTAGTAAGAGAAAATCTGAACAAGAATGTAGAATCTTTAAAAAAAATAGTGTCTAGAAGATCATTAATGATGTAGGGGAGTTGGAAAATCCCATGAGATTGGCGATATCCATTCTGAAGGATACACCTGACATTTCTTTGGCACCAACTGAGAAGACTTATGCACCTGTCACTTCCACTGATAAAGAATTCTAGCTAGACTGGCAGAAGAATGTGAATAACATCACCAGCCAATACAATCTGTATCTTTAATTGTAATTACACCAAACTATAAGTCTTGTAGAACCATGGCTACGAGCAAAGTCTTAACTACTTCTAGATCATGGTTTCTCAACCTCAGTTCTATTGACATTTTGACCCTGATAATCCTTTTTGTAAGGAGCTAGGTTATGCATGTTTAGCAGTATCCCTGGCCTATATGCACTGGCTGTCAGTAGCACTCACCTCTACCCTCAATAGTAACAATAAAATTGAAAAAAAAAAAAAGGTTTCTGGACAATACTAAATGTTTGCTTGGTAGAAAAATTGACCCTGACTGAGAATCATTGGTTGACATCAATAAAACAAGATAGCTAGTATTCAGTCTTGAGAAAATAATTCCATTACAATCACTACATTATTATATTGTAACTGTAGCTTCCATTTCATGAAGAAAGGGCAGAGCAATGAGTTACTCCACCACAGTTGTCATGATGGGATACTTCTTATATAGTTGGCAGGGATAGGTGTTATATACACTGTAATCAGGAGCTCAGAATTCATATTAACTTAATTTTGTTTCAAGGCCTAAAACAATGCAATATTTACTTTAAGACCATTGCTTTAAATATTCCAGTGGGCCTTAATGAAGTTCCATCATAATTAAGGTTGCTTTGGCACATGTATATGTGCATTTTGAGCTACCTTCTTTACCTATGGACACCAAAAAGTTATCACTAAATGAAAAGGTGAAAACCTTAGCACAAAATGGGGATGTATTTGAAGTGCAAGTCTTTACACATCCAAGGGAGAATATAATTATTCTCAGTATCTCAATAGTTTGTGCATATTTCTACCCCAAAACACGTGAAAGTGCCCTTACAATTTCATAACACTTTATCAAAATTTTGGTTCTAGATATTCCAGGAAGGAATACTTATTTGTAAAACATTCTTTTCTGCCTGACAAATCCTGTCTTCTGCCTATTTTATCTCATTAGTGTGGAAAAAGAAATATGGGATTTTTCTGTTGTATTTTTGTTTTAGTAAAATAAAAGGTCATAAAACTACTAAAAAAGCCAATGAATAGATATAAAAATGATATAAAATTTAAGCTTTATAAACAAATACCAATCCTTATATGTGTATATGCATACACATTACGTGGCAAAGCATATGCAAGATATCTAAGAAAAGAAAAATATTGAGAAAAGAGAAAAATAAGTTCTATGAGTACATATCAG